CCAGTACCTTATAATGTTATTCTTTTCATAGCAGTTGGTATTAGTAGCCAGGCACCATTTGCTTCTTCTGTCTTCAGTAAAATTTTACTTGTGTGATATTAATGGTATTTTTGATCATTTCTGCAATCTGTTGGATCATATTTCTTTGGAATTGGTATGAATATGGATCTCCTTCAATAGGATGGTCTTTCAAATTTCTTGGCATAGACAAGTGAGAGTTTTCAGAATGATACCCATTTGTTGAAATATTTTAATTTGTATTCCAACAATTCCTGGAACCTTGTTTTTTTTTTTTTACCAAAGTCTTCAGTGCAACATGGACTTCTTCCTTCAATACCATCAGTTCTTGATCATATGCTACTTCCCGAAAAGGTTGTAATCCACCAAGTCCTTTGAGTATAGTGACTGTGTATTCCTTCCATCTTATTTTGATGTTTCCTGTTTCATTCAGTATTTTGCCCATTTTGTTGTTGTTGTTAAGTGCCATTGAGTCAATTCCTACCCATAGCGACCCTGTATAAGGTTTCCAAGAAGCAGCTGGTGAGCTTGAACCACTGACCTTGCAGTTCAAATAGCTTTGTAGTCTGACACATTAGCCCACAATGCTACACCAGGGCTCCATTTTACCCATAGAATCCTTCAATACTGCAACCTGAGGCTTGAATTTTTTCTTCAATTCTTTCAGCTTGACAAATGCTGATTGTGCTGTTCCTTGTTGGGTTTCTAACTCTAGGTCTTTGCACATTTCATTATAATACTTTACGTTGTCTTCTTAAACTGCGATTTAAAATCTTCTATTCAGCTCTTTTTACTTCATCATTTCTTCTATTTGCTTTAGCTCCTCTATGTTCTGGAGTTCTGATGTGGCACTGTGGGTTAATGTACTGGACTGCAAAGTCGGTGTGAACCACAAGCTCACCAGCTACTCCTCAAAAACCGTATACAGGGTTGCTATGGATCGGAACTGACTCAATGGCACTTAACAACAACTCTACACTCAAGAGCAAGTTTCAGAGTCTCTTCTGATGCCTATTTATTTCTGACAATGATTTTTTCCCCCAGTGTTATTAATGACTTTTTGCTTTCCTCATGTATGATGTTCTTGATGTCATCTCACAACTATCTGGTCTTTAGTGTACATTGTCAAATCTATTCTTGAGATGGTCTCTAAATTCAGGTGGGTTATACTCAAAGTTCAACTTTTACTCTCATGGACTTGTTTTAATTTTCTTCAGCTTCAACTTGAACTTTCATATGAGCAACTGTTGGTCTGTTCCTCAGTCGATCTCGGCTTGTTCGGACTGATAATATTGAGTTTTTCCATCTTCTCTTTCCACAGATGTGGAACATTTGATTCCTGTGCATTTCATCTGGTAAGGTCCATGTTCCTGCTTATGTTGTAGAAAAAGGTATCTGCAGTGAGTATGTCATTGGCCTTGCAAATTCTATCATGGCAATCTCTGGTACTGTTTCTATATTTTCCAAATACCTTCCTCTTTGTGTCCAACTTTTGCATTCCAATCACTGGTAATTGTCAATGCGTCTTGGTTGCATGTTTGATCAATTTCAGACTGCAGAAGTTGGTTTTAAAAAATCTTCAATTTCTTCATCTTTGGCATTAGTAATTGGTGCATACATTTGAATAATAGTCATCCTAACTGATCTTTCTTATGATGGTGGTGGTGGTTGTGTTGTTCTGACTTATAGCAACCTTGTATAGGGTTTCTGAGGAGCAGAAAACTTCATCTTTCTCCTGAAGAGTCATTGGTAAATTCGAACTGCTGACCTTTAGGTTAGCAAACCAGCTCACAATCCACTACACTACCAGGGCTCCTTTCTTGCAGACATATGGATATTATCCTATAATTGGTAGCATCGTACTTCAAGATAGATCTTGAATATTCTTTTTAATGATGAATGTGATATCATTCCTCTTCAATTTGTCATTCCCAGCATAGAAGACTATAGGGTTGTCATATTCAAAATGGTCACTACGAGTCCATTTCAGTTCACTAATGCTTGGATATTGATCTTTATGTGTTCAATTTCATTTTTAATGACTTCCAATTTTCCTAGATTCATACTTCGTATACTCAACATTCTGATTATTAGTGGATGTTTGAAGCTGTTTCTCCTCATTTTGGGTTGTGTCTCATTAGCAAATGCAAGTTCCAAAAGCTTTACTCCTCCTATGTCTTTAAGGTTGACTCCGTTTTGAAGAGGCAGCTCTTCCCCAGCCATGTTTTGAGTGTTTTCCAACCTTTTAGCACTATACCAGACAATATTCTTATGCTATTAATAAGGTTTCCAGTAGCCACTGTTTTAGAAGTAAATTACCAGCTCTTTCTTCCTAGTCTGTCTTAGTCTAGAAGCTATTCTGAAACCTGTTCATTATGGATGATTTTGCTGGTATTTGGAAAAACCAGTAGCACAGTTTCCAGGATCACAGCAACATGCAAGCCACCACAATAGAACAAAATAGACCTTCAATTTGTTGTTGTTGTTGTTGTTAAGTGCCATCAAGTCAGTTCCTACTCATTAACCTTGTATAGAGTTTCCAAGGCTGTATTTCTTCGTGGAAGCAAAAAGCCTTAGCTTTTGCCTGCTGAGCAACTGGTGGGCTCAAACTGCCAATCTTGTGGTTTGCAGTGCAGTGCTTATCCTAAAAAGCCACTGTGCTTCCCTATAAAAAGGTTAAACTGTAAATCACAGCCTACAAACTGGCAGCGCATACAGTTTCAAAACTATGTGCTAACATTTTAAAACCAAGAGATTGCACAAAAGAATCATGATTTCTGGCCTCTTCGAAAAATTGGATGAAGTAAGACAGTATCTCTACTGCAGTCTCAAGAAAAACATGTTAAGTGTTCAAATCAGACATATCTAACCAAGAGCCTAAATCTTTAGCACAAGCACAGCCAGACTGGATACAGGGAGGCTGCGACAGAAATCCACTGTCATCCTATCTGCAGATCTGGGGTTCTATGTATGTGAGAGTCATGTCTGTATTCCAGGTTCCTTTGCGTCTCATACAGAACTGTACCCAGCTTTGGAAAAGGGTTCTAGGTAGCATTTGCATTTGGCTTTATCTGTTCTAAGTGCTCAAGATAGCCCAAAAGTCAGACTTCCAGGTCTCCAACACCAGGAAATCCCCCACTGAAAACAATGGTTTGCACCTTCATCAAGTGTATTCAAACCAGGAAAGAAGGAAAACATGGAGGTGGATAAATCTGTTCATTTCTGGGTTTACAGGTATGAGCCTAAGGAACCTAAAGGTAATTCCCCTAATTACACACACTCATATGAGGCCCACCCAAAGGACACCTCTATTGAGGTGGGACACATAAACCATACCTGTGTGTGGTGCTGTGGATAAGCACTGGACTGCTAACCACAAGGCCAGGGGCTCAAACCCACCAGCTACTCCTCGGGTCTCTGTGAGTCAGAACCAACTCAATGATACTTAATAACAACAACATGTGTTATTGTACCTGTGCTAGACATTTATTTGTTACCTCTTTAGCACATCCATGTCCCTCTTACCATTTCCTGTTGTTAATTTGTTACCTACCATACAGTCATCGTGACCCCATGCGTGCACAATGGGATCATGCTATTGTGATCCAGGATTTTCAGTGGCTCATTTTCAGGAGTAGACCACCAGGCCTTTCTTCCTAGTCTGGATGGTGGCGGCTACACAGGAGACACATTAGTCAGGACTCAAACCCTGGTGTCCTATGTGGAATGTGCAAATTCTACCCCCAAGCCACCAGTGACTTCTTACCGCTGCTTAGGAAAGCAGTTTGGGTATAATAAAGCATCTTTCTAGTTTGAGGGAGAACTAATTAGCATATGCCAAATCCAAGGCCACAATTCAAGGGTGAACATGTGAACCTTGTTTCATACACACACATAAAAGCAACAAAACTGCCATTGAGTCCATTGTGACTCACAGCGACCCTGTATAAGGGTTCCAAGTCTGTAACCCTTTACCGGAGTAGGCAGTCTCATCTTTCTCCCACTTAGTTTGAACCACCAACTTTGTGGTTAGTAGCGCAACCTTTAACCCACAGGGTCACCAGAGTTCCTCAAACCCTTGTCACAAGGAGACTGAATTCTAGAATTTAAGATTAATTAGAAAAGCAGAACTCAATTTTCTGATGCATATGAGCAGGATACGTATAGATCCAGGAGTTTTGACATCATCTTGAAATCACAAGATGGAAGAGTTTCCTGAGAATGAAATCAAGGCAGAATCTCTGAGGCAAGAAGGAGATAAAGGAGTCTCTGTCCTTGGACTCTTTGGTGAAAATATATTCCCTATTTGGCTTTGACCCGTTTGGGTGAGGGTTTTGGTCACTGACAACAGACAGGATCCTAACTGAGATCCTTGTGTATATGTAGCTTGACTCTTGTGAATATAACATGATCTTGCTAAGTTTTGGTGGGATATGACTTTAGTCATCATCTTCTTTCAAGTGTTTCCAATTCTTTTTAAAACAAATCAATTTGACAACAAGGTTGCTATGGGTAAGAACCTACTTGACAACACTTAACAAGAGCAACATTGTGGAATTTAGTCAACCCGAAAAAAAATTTACGATATTCATGTATTTTAGAATAAAGTTCTATTTACCGGTCAACATAATACTTCTCCTTTTGACACACATCTTTTAAGAAGAAATTCAATCTTCTGATTTTTAAGAAATGCAAAATGTAGGGCAATGATCTATCTAACCAAAGTTTTTCTTTTGTAATAAAAAATGCTTTAGAGGGGGAAAATAGGGATTTTTATTACTATTGAAATATCAAACTCAAATTATTTTTAAGGCACAAGGCATTGGAAACATTTAGTTTCATGATATGCCATTATTAGGCATTCTCTATCTGATTGTTAGAAATTATTCATTTCCTCACAGAGAGAGAATAAATTGGCTGGGGATGTAATCTTACAGTATACTCTTTCTTTGCCAAAGGCAAACACTGAACATTTCAGAGCCATGAGAATGCTTCTGCATTTGAGTTTGCTAGCTCTTGGAGCAGGCTATGCCTGTGCTCTTGCCATAGAAAGTCCTGTGCATAAGCTGGTGGCTGAGACCTTGACACTGCTTTCAACTCATCGAACTCTGCTGACAGGCAATGGGGTAATTTTCTGTTTGATTCCTAGTCTCTGATAATAATATGTGGTAGTTACTTTAGCATGTATGAACATCTAGAGTTAATAATGAAGTTATGAGAGTGTTCGTAATGTATTGTTAACCACATCACTAGTCAGCATTATGTTAAAATTCATGAATGCTAGAGTGCTTTGAAAATGATTGTATTTCCTTTTCTTTTAAGACCCCGACGATTGCTACTCCTATGCATAAAAATGTAAGTACAATTATGATTTAATAAAATGATTGAATGCCTGATTAAGTAAATGACATATGTTAAGCTGCAAAGCATTGATTACCACTGTTGTTGTTGTTGTTAAGTGCTGTTGAGTTGGTTCTGACTCATAGGGACGCTGTATAGGGTTTCCAAAGAGTGGCTAGTGAGTTTGAACCACCCACTTTCGGTTCAAACCAACCTTGAGGTCAAGTACTTATCATTAGAACTACTTTATTTTTTCTTTGTGCTTTATATATATACATATATGGATAGGAAAGTGTGCAGTTACAATATTAGAAATAGCAGAATCCATTCAACAAAGGGATAAGGCTCTTCAGTAATGTTGTCAGTTCTCTGACCTGAAGAGCCTTATATCAGGGACTCTTTACCCCACCAAATATCCCATACAGGTTTACAGTAGCCTCTTAGACTGCTGAACTCTACCTATGGCCTTCTTACTATGCTCTCTGAAAGTATTAGCAATTTTGGGTTCTAGTTTCAGATTCATGATCGTCAGACATTAAAATCCATACTAAATGTTCTACATTAATAGTCATTATTACATTTTAAAATGAATGATTATGGCAAGAGAATGGGCCTATGCACATTGGAATAGCTCATGGTCATATTACAATATAAAATAAATTATTTCATTAGTCTGTTGTTGTTGTTAGGTGCCATCAAGTCGGTATTGACTCATAGTGACCCTATGCACAACATAAAGAAACACTGCCTGGTCCTGGGCCAACCTCACTATTTTTGCCACGCGTGAGCTGATTGATGCTGCCACTTTGCCAATCCATCTCGCTTGGAGTCTTCCTCTTCTTCTCTGATCCTCCACCTTTCATTAATCTATATAGAATCAAATTACCAGCCAGAATTATAAAAGAAAATGTTGATGGGAATTCAATCAGCAATGTAGTTTGTTAATGCCATTTCCTAAACATTTCATTTATTGTTAAGCAGTTCATTCAGATCATCTACAAAGTTCGTCAATAGTAATATAAATGCCATCTGTTTCTTAAAAATTACATTTCCGTATGCGGTCATGAGTTTTCACCTGGAAAAGGAACAAGTATAATACTCATTGAAAACAGGAACTCATGCAAATACCACAAAACAAAGGCTAACACATTGTAACAAGTTTTTATGTCTGGTTTTCAGTTTTTGCATTAAAAAAAACCCTTCTTCATTTAGCACCAACTATGCATTGAGGAAATCTTCAAGGGAATAGACACACTGAAGAATCAAACTGTACAAGACAATGCTGTGGAAAAACTATTTCAAAACTTGTCTTTACTCAGGGAATACATAGATAGCCAAAAAGTAAGTTAAACACATTTAGTGGGCAATGTATTTAGTGGGCTGTGTCTGCTTTTATAGAAATTGACAGTTTCCTAAGATACCTATTGTATGTTTTTTTTTCACAGAAAAAGTGTGGAGAAGACAGACGGAAAGTAAAGCAATTCCTAGACTATTTGCAAGAATTTCTTGGTGTAATAAACACTGACTGGGTAATAGAAAGTTGAGACTAAACTGGCTTTATTGTAGTTCAAGACATCAGAGACAAGAATGTTTTATTGTACCGAGAATAAGGCCAACCAAATACAGGGCCTTAATTTTCAGTGTAATTAAACTGCAGAGGTAAAATAAATATTTCGAGCATACTGCTACTTTACCACAACATACAGGCAGAAAACATAGAATATTTTTGATATATTTCATATAACAGAATCATTGAAGCATTGTCCTACTATTTGCTCCAGGCAAAACAGATGTATATTCTCATTTTATTTAATTTAACATTCTCTAAAATGTTTGCTAACTTAGTATTATTTATTAAATGACTAAGAATTTGGTAAATTATTATTTATTTTATTATATGTTATGTTTTAATAAAATAAAAATGGACACCTCTGGTTCGATTTGCTGCTGGCCTCTGTCTTAGGCTTGAAGTGTAATAGCATATAGAGTTTGGAGATGCATCCACATGCATTCCCATCTCCCTAGTGGCAGAAGTTGCACAATCATTAGGCATGCCAAAGGTGGAAGTGACCCAGTAGGATTTTGTGGGGATGTAGGGAGCATAGGCAGAGGCTGAACCTGGTTTCTGCTCCATGGTACCTAGAGCAAATGATAGTGGTGACGAGTCAGTGAGTGAATGAATTGATCTTCCAGGACTGGCTTTAGAATGAGTTTCAAGGTTTCCCCCAGGAGGAGGGCACTGCTGAAAATTTATAACTAAGTCTCTTCTCAAACTTTAAGAAGAATTTGGCAGACCTATCCCACTACCATTTGGAGGAGGTAGCCACAACAAACCCTCATGGTGGAGGCTTCTTGGGGAGTTCCCCCTCACTCCATCTGACATATGGCGTAACAAGAGGGATAGCGAAGCACTGGAAAGACTGATATCCAGAAGCCTGGGCTCTAGAGGAACATTCAGTATCCTCCAGGGCAGAGCAGCACTGGGCAGAATAATACTCCAATCTGCCTGCTTCAGACCAACAGTAGCAAAAATGGAAATTCCTCTGCTTGAGAAACATTCTCAAGGAGCCAGAAAATATAGTCTTTAAAATATACTTTAAGACCTGGATAGCCTTGGAGGAGAGGTACAGCAACAATATTCATCGATGCCATTGATGAATTCACTAACAAATATTGATTAATTGCCTACCTAGCCTGTCACAGATCCTGTGCTGGGTAATGGGATACAGTTGTGGGCCTATGCTAGAAAGCCTTACAGACCAGTGCCATTACCCTGTGCATTATCTGCATATATTATACGTGTCTGACTCAACAGCTTGAGTGAAACAATTGCATCTGTTCTTTCTGGGATCTGGAAGAGGGACCAGAGAGGTCAGGTGGAGGAATGCAAGTCCTTCAGTAAGACAAGATGAGTTTTCCTTCCAGCCTATACCCACAATGTAGGATTTTGTATACACACAAAGCTCTAGTGAACTGGAGCAGAGCCAAGGAGGAAGGGAGGAAGACTGATCCACATTGCACCATGCTGACTGCTGTAGAAGCTGACAGGAAACAGGAAACCCAAATTACCAAAAGACTGAATCTTAGATTAACTCAGTCAGCAAATATTGATTGAGCTCCAATATGCTTAAGGGTTTTTCTAGGGACTGGAATCTGTCAATGAAGTAAATAGACAAAATTCCCTGCTCTTGTAGAACTTATATTCTTTCTCAAAGAAGTTCATTTTTCCATTTAAAAAAATTAGGGTCCAATTTCATTTATGTAGATTTAAGACTGGAATACCTTATCTAAAGTGCAATGGTTCCACAGTAAGCACACTAGACTGTGAACCACAAGATTTGAGCCCACCAGCCACTCCTCAAGAGAAAAGATGAGGCTTTCTGCTCCTGAAAAGATTTACAGCCTTGGAAACTATTTACTGGCTCACTGTGAATTGGAACCAACTCGATGGCACTTAACAACTTAACTTCAAGTCCCACTAATGAACCCTCACCAATACAGACCCCAGAGAAACTGAGATAGATCAGGACCATATGAAACCAACTAAAATGGAGTTTCTTAGAGGTACCAGGCTATATGTGTGTGTGTGTTAAGTATATATGCAGCAACAACCCAATTCATAAAAGGGCACAGAACATGAACAGAGTCTTCTTCACCAAAGAAGATATCTAGGCAGCCAAAAAATATATGAAGAAATGTTCACAATCACTAGCCATTGTTGCTCTTAAGGTATTAAGTGCTATCAAGTCAGTGAACCTATACAGGGAGCAGCTGGTGAGTTTGAACTGCCAACATTGTGGTTCAAACCAACCTTGCAGTCCAACACATTTGACAAAATCCAACATCCATTCTTGGCAAAAACACTCAACAAAGCATAACTTGAAGGGAAATTCCTCAACATAATTAAGAGGAGATATACGAAACCAACAGCCAACATCACTCTCAACAGAGAGAAACTGAAAGCATTCCCTTTGTGAACAAGAACCAGACAAGGATGCCCTTTATCACCACTTCTATTGAATATTGTGTTGGGAGTCTTAGTCAGAGCTATAAGGCAAGAGAGTGGAATTAAAGACATCCAAATTGGCAAGAAGTCAAACTCTCTCTATTTGTAGATGATATGATCCTATACATAGAAAATCCCAAAGACTCAGCCAAAATAAAAAATCTTTGGAACTCATTGGAAGATCCAGCAAAGTGGCAATATACAAAAAAGATTAATATACAAAAATATAAAGATAGCTCTAAAAATGAAACTAGGAAAACAATACAATTTATAATAGCCACCCAAAGGATGAAATACGTAGAAATAAACCTTAACAGGGAAACAAAAGACATATACAAAGAAACCTAAAATACATTACTACAAGAAACCAAAAGAGATGTAGAAAACTGAAAGAATATACCATACTCATGGATAGGAAGATTTAACATTGTGAAAATGTCAATACTACCCAAAGCAATCTACAAATACAATGCAATCCCAATCCAGATTCCAACACCAATCTTTAAAGAGATAGAAAAAAATGATTACAAACTTTATATGGAAGGGAAAGAGTTTTCAGATAAGCAAATCACTGCTTAAAAAGAACAAAGTTGGAGGACTCTCAATCCCTGATCTCAAATTTTACTACATAGCCACAGTGGTCAAAACAGCCTGGTACTGATACAATGAAAGATACATAGATTAATGGAACAGACTTGAGAACCCAGAAATAAATCCATCCACACACAAACAACTGAATTTTGACAAAGGGCCAAAATACATTAAATGGGGGAAGAGATAGTCTCTTCAACAAATGGTGCTGGCAAAACTGTGAAAATAGATTTGAAAAAGAATGAAACAAGGCTCATATCTCATACTATATACAAAAACTAACTCAACATGGATTAAAGACCTAAATGTAAATTCCAGAACTATAAAGGTCATCAATGAAAAAAATAGGGACACGTTTAGGAACTTTAATATATGGCATGCATAGACTATCAAGCACTGCAAAAATCACACAAACAATAGGAGACAAGATAGATGACTGGGACATACTAAAAATTAAAAACCTATCTGCATCAAAAGATTTCACCAAAACAGTAAAAAGGAAGCCCACAGCCAGGGGAAAATCTTTTTGCTATGACATATAAGACAAGGGACTAATCTCTAAAATTTTTAGGACACTACAATACCTCTGGCCACCACTCGTCTGTCTGTCCTGCTGTGGTGGATTGAGTTGCTGTGATTCTGAGGGCTCTGCCACCAGTATTTTAAATAACCATCAGGGTCACCCATGGTGGACAGGTTTCAGATGAGCTTCCAGACAAAGACAGACTAGAAGAAAGAGTGACAAACTACTTCTGAATCGCTAGTCACTGAAAACCTTATGAATAGCAGAGAAACACGGTCAGATACAGGACTGGAAAATGAGCCCCTCAGGTTGGAAGGCACTCAGAATGCGACTGGG